ATCTCTATACTAGCGCATCAGATTTTTGCCAGGTAGAAAGCTTATTTTATGGAGAGCGATGAAGACGCAACAAAAGACCCACACGGCTATTTAATGATTGACTTGACACCTCAATGTCCAGAGCAACTGAGACTCCTTCAGATAAAAGAACTGGATAAATTTAAAAATAGTGTATCTTTTAATTTTTTCATCCGGGGTCAGATTCTTTTGATCTAAGACGTTTCTCATCTGTTCGTCTAGGTCTGTCTCGGCCCTATCTCTACTCAAGGTTTTAGTATCCAGCGTGCCTCGCCAGCGCAGCGCATGTTCCCCAGATTTGATTAAAACCATCTGCGAGTTGGTCATTAATCTTTTAAGAGGTAATATAGCTCTTTCATCCGATCAATACAACAAGTTAAAGAGGCAGAGGAAAACGCTGAGAACACTGGCTGACAGAAAAACTTCCATAGTCAGAAAGAGAATACTAATTCAGAAAGGCGGCTTCCTGTTCCCTCTCATCACCGCAGCTCTGCCAATAATAGGACAACTGGTCGAAGGATTGATAAACAAACGCTAAAAAGAGTGAGATGGCTTTCAGAAAAATGTACCTGGTCTCTCAAGATCAATTGAATCATTTCCAGGATCGCAGTAAGGATATCAGAAATAGGGCCGAGACAAACCTAGACAAACAGATGAGAAACAAAAACAAACAAACAAAAAAATCTGACCCCGGATGAAAAAATTAAAAGATACACTATCCTCTTACACCGTTACCTTAACTTGGAAAAACAGAAACGTGATGAGACGCGTGAAATTACCATCACTTTGCCTAGAGATGTCGCGGACCCCCTGATACCACCAGCAGCAGCTGCAGCCCCCGCAGCAGCAGCCGCACTGCATCAACCCCGTGGAGCGATGATAAAATGTTTCAGGATGTTATCACTAACGTTAACCCTCGTTTTCAAAAGAAGGCCGGTTATATTCTACAGAAAATGTCAGAGTCTCAAGGACCAGGGAAATGGAACGATAACAGTTAATTTATTTACAACGGAGAAGCAGTGTGGGGTTCGCACATGATAGATCTGGTTAAGCATTTAAGTCTCACCCGTAAGAGCTCTCACACCCCGGTGGGTTGGGATTATTTTCTCCATACCTTATCACAAATAAATATACCACTCTCTAACGTGCCAAATAAGAAAGCCAGAGGTCAGATGCATAACTACAAAGATTGCGGGGGCCCGAATGTTGTTTGCATTGCCCGGAAGTCTGACCGTGTGGAGCGCGCTGAGAAAGAAACGTTCCCGGCCAGTCACCCACGGAGGATCAAGATAATTACGACTCTTTCAATAATAATGAGAAAAAAAAAGAAGCGTTTTGTATCGTTATCCCCTCGTTGGGTTAATGTTTCATGAATAAAAAAACAAACGTACCATGTTTTCTGTCTTTTAAAAATGGATAAAAGAGTATTCTTACAGACATATTCATTTTACTGAATAAGGCATAATAGCGATAGTTATCTAGTGAATAACAAAAGGTTGAAAACATAACATGATATCAAAACAACATAATGAATAAAATAATATTAAAATAAAAAGAGATAGTTATCTAGTGAATAACAAAAAGTTTAAAACATAACATGATATCAAAACAACATAATGAATAAAATAATATTAAAATAAAAAGAGATAGTTATCTAGTGAATAACAAAAGGTTTAAAACATAACATGATATCAAAACAACATAATGAATAAAATAATCCCAGTCCGCTATCCTCATGCAGAACGTAGCTGGCTGCAGAGCCGTTTAACCGAACGTCCCGGACGTGGATCTGTTTGTCCTCCATTCGACTCCGCACCACTTTGACGATCTGCCGCGGCTGCATCTCCAGAGTGGGGAAGTTTCGCCGGCCGTGGATCGGGACGGTCCCCGTCAGGATGGCGTCCAGGCGCTGCACTTGCTCCCAGTTGAGGACGCTAACGTTACTGCTTTCTGTTTCCGACACCCTGTTAGTGCAACTGTCGTCCTCTGACATGTTGATGCGAGAAAGGTCCTCAGCAATTTAAACACAATAACAATTAAGTAGTTTTCTCAAAAAATGAACAAATGAATTTACGCACAATTTTTATATAGACTAGTTGAATCGCTTTAGGTTCATGCGCATCAGGATCCACAGCATCTAAAGCCGTCCGAATTTACTGTAAACAGAAAAAACTAACCCAATGCAAACAGTGATAGTCGCTGCAACGCGTTATACTGTAGTTTGCGCAAAAAGCCTGAGGATGTAGATGTAGTGGCGCAGAAGTCAAACTGATGGTTGTATTAACGAAGAATTGCAGCCAGTCAACAGAAGCGACAAAGAAACTAGTCCTAACTTTCTCTTCCCCTGCGCTTTTAAAACATTTGCCCGGGTGCCGCTGTCAATGCGTCCGAGCGCTGCGCATCAGTCTTTGATGGTCGCTGATGATCCAGGAGGGGGGTTGCTTTCCGGCGGTGACTCCATCGCCCAAAGGCACGCCTATGAATTTATGAATTTGCATGAATACGTTTCTCCTCAAGTCGCACTTTGGCACCCACGATCAACCCCACAAAGGAATCTTGTGGATTTTTACGCACAGCTCCTATATAGCCTACATTTATTTTCTCCTCCCACTACCAAAGAATAATCCCAGTTAATGCAACTTATATAGTGTCCAGGAAGTCCAGCTTGCTTTCCCTAACTTTGTTTGGTTCAACATATTTCCCCACTTGTGGAGGAGTTAACCGTTACCTGCCCACTTAAGTGCAGTGTGCTTCTGCAAGAGTCAGGTTTGTAGTCTGAAGATGTCAGCTCTAGCTACTCCACCCCACCCCCTCCGATAGCCAGGTGCTAGTCTCAAAATCAATAATTAGTGAGAGAGAATAATAATTATTTATTTGCTGTGGTTAGCCAACACTAACATTCAAACATGACTGAGAAAAATAGCATTAAATATAAAAGTATTTTACTTTAAGGTTGAACTGGTGGTGATCTGCATATGGAGCTGACTTGACGTTGCCATGTCGCCCTCTGTGGGCCAGTTTAGGTCTTGATATAAAGTAACGCAGTGCCTTACAGTCTATTTATTACCTTTAAAGTGTTACATTAAAGCTCTGTGATATACATTAAACACCTGTTAGACACGCCTTCAGATACACATTAAATCACTAAATGGTCATAGAACCTCATTAAGAATCTAAATGTTATTGTCACTAATTCTGTATCCAGATTTTTCAGGTTTTCTTATACTTTGCCAAACCATGAGTGGTTGTTGTTTCCAACCACTAGGCAGTTTCTGGTTGAGGAAACATGTCAGGGGGTCAGGGACCTGCAGCGGCCATATCAGGGCAGGACACCTGCTACAAATGCTCCATGAGGCAGTGTAATCCCTGCGTCACTACAGCCACCCAGACCTGTAAGCCCCGAAGATCCCATTTACTCTATTGTACTGTCTTAACTACCACACAGGAGCTGTGCCTCTGCACAGTGTCACCTCTCTGCAGGACAGGACATGCACATAGTTAGTTATACTGTATATTGACATTTACAGCCACACTGTGCAGCTTTTACAGGGTAGGATTTGGGAGCAATGAAACCAGCTCCCAAATCATCAAATAATACACATTAAGAGCTTTAAAAAGTGTTTAAATAGTATAATAATTTAAAGAATGGACCCCCAGTTTTTAACCCTTGTTTTGTTTTCATGCTTTGCTTTGGCATGTGTCAGACAGGTTGATAGCAGGTCTTTGAAAATGAATTCCACATCTGGAAATGTACATAGAACTATTAGCCAGTTACAGTGGACCAAGAGCAGTCTCACTGATGTGTTCCCCAGGTGTGTAGAGATGATTGCTATAAAGTGGACTGAGTCCGTCCGCCGTGCATGGTGCAACCACTCTCTGCAAAGATAAAGCAAAGCTGCTGTCAGAGACTAACAGCAGGTACAGTCGATAAACGTCCAAACAAGAGCTGTGCTGATGAGCTGCATTGTGTAAATACAACCTGGCACCTCGTTAGTGCATGATTCATTGTTTGGTGGTTACTGAAAGTCATAAATAAGCTTTTGCTGTCAGAAATTTAAATGGAAACAATACACACCCTTCTGACCTGGTAACATTGATGTTTTTCCCTGTTGTTAAATGAACCTGTATTCAATTCATAGATAAAAACCTAAAACTCCTGGAGACTCTAATGTGTGTGGAAGAGACTGCTTTTCCTCATAAACCTATCTTTTACAATCACAATATGTGTCTCTGGGGTCTATGAGACATTTTCTGGATTTTCTGACTACATGGATGGATTTATCTACCATGACGTGTAATAACCCTGCTGCCTTTGAGCTTTTTTTCCTTCAGGTCAAGACTCTGTTAAGTTGGACCATCAAAACCTTCTTTTATGGTTTAGATCACTGAACATCATCCAGCACTTTTTAAAACTTTTTTCCTGATGACATGCAGCCTTAAAAAAATGTTTGTACCAATATGCAATCTATGAAATAAAACTCATCTTTGTGGCAGGGTTTTATAAGACAAGGTTGATCAATATCAAACATTTAATTAAGTCCCAGTTTTGACCTTTAAATCATCATTAATGTGAGTGTAGTTTTGAACTGAGAGAATCTGGGCATTGTTATGAGTAGATCTCAGTGGTACTGGATCATATTGGTGTGGTCAAAGGGGTCGAAGCTACAAAAGATGGTTTGATGGTAAAAACACTGTATGGAGCCTCAAAAGTGTTCAATATTAATAAAAATAAAGACATTGAGTTGAAATCAAATGGCAACATGAAAACAATTTGTCAATCTAAGGAGTCACTCATAGAGATGAACCTATGAAGAATTATCACCCCACTGTAGCAGGTTTCAGCTCATTGTTTAGATGTCCGGTTGCAACTTTACCATTATGGTTCACTCTCACCACTCTGTTTCCCAACAGGCAGGCAGTGTAAAGCTCTAAAAAGCAGCTGTATACTACCTAATTAGCACCAAGCAAAAAACAAACACTGTTAGTGATTAGCTGGGGATCACAGTGGAGCATTTAGCAGCTAAAGCGACAGATATTTCCCAGAGCTAGTATTAATAGCCTATTGGATTTACAATGAAGAGAAACACAACTCCAAATGATAATGTTGTTCTGTTACTGTTTGATGTTTCGCTATTAGCTGTTATTTTTCTTACTTTTTTATTTTAAAATGCCCACTTTTAAAAGTTATGACTCTGTTCACAGTAATGCAGGAACTCTGTCCCTTCATCTTTTAGTCAGTCATATGTCCCTTCAACCTTTCTTAGCAAGCTCACTGACTGAAACTCCCATTTCTCTAGTTGGCTTTTGCTGGATATAATAACAATAACAACAATACCAAAGTAATTCTGAACTGACCAAGTGTTGATTCTGTAAAACACTGTGCACAGAACAATGACCAGCTCCTCCTTTTATTCATTTAGTCTTATTTCATTTCATCATGAGAGCCACTTAGCTGGATTTATCCTTCAGCATTAAAGTGAATAGCTAGAGTTAATATGAGCTATCTGGCCAGTACAGAATTAAAACAGGCAGATTTTAGATTCTGAAGATGCTCATCACAGAAAGACAAAAAACTTGTGTGTGAAGAGCAAAGGCTGAGGTTGTTAACAAGAGCTAGCCGTCAGTTGTCAGCCCTCCTAGTGGGCTGTTGGATATGACAAGTCCACTGTCGTAAATACTGTTTTGAAATAAAAAATAAAATTCTATAAACTAATGACAGGAAAATGAAATACAACAGCAATAACACATTGTAGTCATTTTCTAGTGATTTATTAAAGTGAATTCTAGATGTAAAGTAGCGGTATATTTTCTGTTT